GGGGAGGGGGGTTGTGAGGGTGGGAGGACAGGGGGCGCTGACCGGGCGGCAGGCGCGAGCGGGGCGGCCGGAGCGGTGCGGCGATGGGCGGAAAGGCCTTGCGTTGGGCACACCCTTGAGGGTGCGTTCGCTCTCGGCCCGGCCCCCCCTGGTGGGCGCCCGTCCGCACGCGGCCCCGCAGGGCTTTGGAGGGTTCAGGGTGCGACCATTGGCCCGGGGCCCCACCAGGCCGGCGTGCAGTATGCTGCACTCCGCCGCCAGCCCGAGGCCGAGGTTGCCGCGCGCCCAGGCCCACTTGCGCCGCAGCAGGGCGCGCCTCTCGTCAAGAACCACCTTGGTGTTGGCGTCAAGCTTGGGTTTGTGGTGGGGGGAAGGGGGGGGGAGGGGGTGGATGCGGGTTCGCTTCAGCTTTAGTGGGCGCGGTGAGGACGAAAGGAGGCGGTGGAGGAGCAAGCGGAAGACGGCTGGCGGCCACCAGGCCAGGCGTGTTCTGCTGCTGTGGTGCCCTGCAAATGCCGCCGCCAGGCTTGCAGCCTGCAGCCCTCCGCGGGCGAGCGGCCGCCCCAGGCGCACTGCCTGCTCTACGCTGGCGCTGCTTGTGCTAATAGATCCCGGGGGCCGCACCGCGTATGTGATCGAGGCGGTGGGGCCGATGCGCTCGTCACGGAAACTGTAGTACGCCCCCAGGCTGGCCTGGCGGGAGTGTAAGGTTGGTGTGACGCGGGCGGCGGCCTGGACTGAGGGCGGGGCCGACCGCCTCGGGCGCCATTATCCGCACAGCAGGTTTCAAGGGGTCGGCCTCGCAACATCAAACTCCCAAAAACGATCACGGCGGTGGCGGGTGCCAGGACGGGCTGCCGCTGCCAAGGCCACAAGCATGAGGGCGTCGTGAGGGCGTCGCCTTGTACATCAAGGGGCGCACCCCCTTCATGTACGGTGCACTGCTGCTCACCTCCACTTTATCGTTCACACGAAACTTCTGCAAACCAGCATTGAGTGTTGTCATGAAGGGGGGCACAGATTGAAGGTGGTCCCCATGACAATGGGCGGCTGCTAACAGAGCGAGACGCCACATCAGCCAGTGATGTACCCCGCTCCCCCAGGTGCAGCAGCATGTCAACGCAGGAATCGCACACGCGCATGCGCACACACATGCACGTGTGCTCGCCTGCCGCGCGTGAAATCGTAGGTTGGTGTTGGCGGTCCCAAAGGTAATGGGCCCCAGCTTGGTGCCACGCAGGCTGACAGGGCCGAGGCTGAAGTCGCCCCGGGCGTCCTCTTCCTGCGGCTCCGCGCTGACCGCCGAGCCGGCCAGCTCAACGGAAGGCGCGGCGTCCAGGACAGCGGGGTTGGGGGCCTGCATCGTGGCGGCCATGCCTGCCAGGCAATGAGCGTAGCGGCCTTGCTGGTACCGTATTGATCAGCAGATCAGGTTACAATTGGGTACCGTACTTGATTCACGAGCAAGGCTAAACCGCAGCTTAGAACTAAACGAGTTGTGTTGTCGGGTTCGTATTGCAGGCCTTCTTTGAACGCTCATCAAAGACAGACAGATCTGTCGAATCAAAGAAGCTGTTCGTGATTCACATTACATATTGATTGTCAACAGTAATTGCGCTGCGTAGTGTGAACACCCACACCGCTGACCAGGCAGCGCGGTTCGTCCCGATCGCAGTTCGGAGCGTTTACATTGTAGCGCAAGCCATATTTACAATCTAATTGATTAACAAATTCGCCTTGACATGCGGGGAAGGGAGGAGGAGAGCGTCTATGCGCTCGGCAGCAGTGGCGCGCCGCTCATGGCGGGCGGGCCGCGCATTGCACAGTACCGCGTCGCTGCAGCGGGCCAAAAGGTCAAGATGCACGTAGACAGCTCACAGGTGCGCGGGTCTGCGGTGTCGGCACAACTTTTGTGCAAAATCACTGCATGCGCCGGTCGTCACACGCGTGCTCGTCGCCTGTATCCTGTCCCATCTTCCAACTTTTCGCCATGCGGGGCCGCCCCGCGCCTCGCCGCAGGTCTCCGGGTGCCTCAACCCCGTGCGGGGCGTGCGCGACGCGCAGGCGCGCGCGGGCATCAAGCCCACCGACCACGCGCGGCAGAACCTCCTGGCTGTGAAGGAGCGCAGCCGGCTCAACGCGCTGAGGCGGCTGTCGCAGGTGCGTGCGCAGCATGCTGCGCGCTGCGTCCGGACGTTGGGCAGGGTGTGAGGAGGGGGAACAAGCCGGGCGGGATCGCTCGTGAGGCAAGGGCGTCGCGGCGGCGGCAGATACGCGCCACTGCGAGTAGAACGCAGCAAAGGCGCGCCGCGCCCGCAAGACATGGCAGCGAATTGCGGCAGACAGTCGGCTTTTTGTTGATCGGTCGATGCATCCATTTGGCCGCTGGGGTGCCTGACTGACCGCACTCCACGCCCAACCCGCAGGATGAGCAGCAGCAAGCGGACGTGCCACCGCGCCGCCCCGCGCCCCAAGGCACGGTTGCCGGCCGCAGCGGCGGCAGCGGCGGCAGCGGCGGCGTGCAGCGGGAGCGCAGCGGCAGCAGCGGCGGCGGCGGCGGCTGCGTCGCGCGAGACTTCCTGGAGGAGAACAGGGTGACGGCGGCGGCTGCGCGGCACCCCACCAAGGCCGTCTCCAAGGCTGAGGGCGCGCGCTCCTACACAGCCAAGCGGGAGTATGGGCAGGTGACCGGGGGCCGGGGCGGCGCGGGGAGGGGGGCGGCGGCGCCCTGCCTGGTGCGGCTCCCCCAGCAGGCTTATTTTGCCGCCATTCCATGCCTTCTTTTGAGGCTGGCCCCCCCCCACATGTGTGATTTTCAAAGACCCAATGGAGTGCGCACGCTCTCCTTGGACCCTGGGCCCTGCCAACCCTGGGGGACGCTCCCAACCCTCAACCCTGCTACCCCTGGAACCTGCCAACCCCCTTGACCCTGCCACCCCCCTGGAATCACATGTGTGTGCATGTGTTTGTCTCTGTGTGTGTGTTGATGCGCACGCGCGCGCATGTGTGTGTATGTGTGTGTGTGTACGTGCGTGTGTGCCAGGTCCCGGCCTACCTGGTGGAGCGCAAGCTGCAGATGGCGGAGGAGCGCCGCGCACTGGAGGCCGCCAGAGAGGCCGCCAAGGTCCCACCCGGTGGGCAGGCAGGGGCCGGGAGGCGCAGCGGGGGCATGCTGCACGTTGAGGCGCGGGAGGCCAGCGCGTCTGCGCTTGGGCGGGCAACGGCGGCGCAGGCGCGGGCTCTGGTGTGCCGCGCTCTGGGAGCTCCCTAGCCTTGCAGGCACTGATGGGCTCACCAACAGCCCAGGCATGACACTGGCCCGCTCCGTCTACAGCACCCGTGCCTATCACAGCACCCTCTCACAACTCCTGCACACCCGCCGCCCTCCCCCAACCCCGTCCTGCCCCCAAGGCATGCGCATAATGCCCGAGGAGGAGCGCGCCGAGACTCTGGCTCTGCTGGAGCGCAACAAGGCGGAGGTGGAGGGGGCGCTGTCTGCGCTGCCCATTGTGGTGGAGACGCTCGGCACGGTGGGGAGGGAGGGGGGGAGGCAGGGCTAGGGCTGAAGGGGGGGGGGTGCCGCTGGCTTTGGTGACACAGATCACACCTCAAGCCTTATGATTTGCACAGCACACAGCCGAAGCAGTGCGCGCACGCTCGAACACACACGCACACACGCACACAACGTGTGTATTTGCCCTTTACCTCGTCCTCTTTGCCCCGCATTCGCACCCCCCGCCTCCCAGCGGCGGCGCAAGGATGATCTGGAGCGGCGGCTGGCCGAGATAGAGGAAGCGCGGCGCGTGTTCAGCCGGAAGGTTGTGATGGTGCGGCTGTGAGGGGGTCCCTTGGCCGGGTGCCCCCCTGACGACGGATCGGCCGAACGCCCGACGGCCTGCTGTGCAGGCCTGTGGCCTTTCATGGTTGACGCTGAGTTCGCAGACGCATGAATTTGACCCTGAGTTGACCCTTGACCTGTGCTGACTTTGTAAACGTTGTGTTTCACGGCTGGTGACGCGCCCTGTCAGAGTGAGGGGGGGGGTGTTGAGCTGCTGGCGGAAATGCACACGGGCCTGAGGCTGCTGTGGTCGGGCTGCTTTGGAAAGCAAGGCTGCCGGCTGCTTGGAAAGGCGGTGGACGAGGCCTTCATCTGAGGCCAGAAGAGGATCAGGGGCCTGCCGACAGGGGATTGAGCAAAGGAGACGTCCTCACACGCTGTAAAATCGAATAGCATGAACCACGTCACAGGCCGACACCGTTTTTACAGCCAGCTGCTTGCGCTGGCAGGTGCGCGGCAGCCAGCTTCAACAACAGGGAAGCATGGGCTGTGAGCCCGCAAGACACCAGTAGGATCTGCAGCCGTCGCTGCTGATTCGATCAAGGTGTTTACGCAGACTCGGGGCTGGGAATGGTGCGGGAGCTTTTGTGTGCAAGCTGCAACGGCGCGTTTGTATCAGCGACGAATGCAAGGAAGGGGACAGGGAGCAGTGCATGCGCCCAAAAAGCGGAGTGGGGTGTGCAACAAGGGTCCCCTGACCGCCACGAAGCAGCAGTTCTTGGGGCCGACGCATGGGCTTGCTGCACACACCAAGGGCGGCCCAATCCCTGGGTGCACAATGCACGACAAGGAACAGAGGAATGAACGCCGGGCCGGGCTCGCACCGCACATGACGCAGCAGCCGTGCTGCTTCCGATTCCCTCAGGGGGCCGGCCGGCCTGGTTCCATTGCTTAACGCAAGTACCCTATCAGCAGCCTGGCTACCAAAGACTTGCTGGTGGAAATGAAGCACGCATATGGTCTTTGCGCTCCAAAGAAGAACGCTAGCAATGCCATGTTAGTAACAGTGCTGCTGTCAGGATTGCGGCGTCCCTGCCCGGCACCTGCTCAGCCCCCGGCCTGCGGCGCCCCCTGCGTGCGCAGCATCCCCCCGCCCCCCCGCCGCGGCCCCGCCTGCTTCGCGAGCAGGGCCCCCTGTATCCGCCGCACGTGCCGCTCCACCGCCTGCGCCAGCACCGCCGGGGTGAACCGGGCCCTGACCATCTCCCTCGCCGCCCGCCCCTTGGCGCGCGCCTCCTGGGGGTGCGCCACCACGTGCCTCATCAGCTGCCGCAGGTGCGCCTCGCTGGGCTGGGCCCACTGCTGGCCCTCGAATGCCCCGAAGAACTGGGGGTCCCCGTCCTTCTTGATGGTGACGAGGCCCTCTATGGCCAGGGGGTAGGCCACCTCAGGAGACATGAACTCAGTCAGGCCACTCCTGAGGGCGGATGGGGGCGTCAGAGAGGGTGTGGACTGTAAGTGTAAGTGTCTGTGTGTGTGTGTGTGTGCATTGTGAGTGTGTGGTCACGTGTGTGGATATGCCTTGGGGTTGCATGGGGGTTCACGATGGGACCACTGGCGGTTTCGGGCGCATAGGGAGGGCGCTGGGGTATGGCGGGCCAGGGGGCGCAGGAAGATGGCGGGTCAGCAGTGGGGGTGGGGATGTGTGGCTGTTTGGGTGTGTGCTCTGTAATAGGCGGGCGCTCACCAGTTTGTCGAGATGACCGGCAGCTCCATCGCCATGGCCTGAGGCAGGATTTGGGGGGTAAACCAGGTGTTGACCAGGGGTTGACCAGGGGATTGACTTGAGAGGCGCGGGTAATTGTGGTCAGGACATGTCTGGCTCATGCAGCAACAGCAGGCGAACACCCACTGCCACGCCAAGGGGCGATTTCAAAAGTCACGGCATGTCCGACGCTGCGGTGCTCTCATTATTTTTTGTGGTGGATTTCTCTGTTTTGTTTTATCCAATTGGTGCAAATGTGAAGGTCCAGAACGCGTACACCCAGAGCTCTCACGGTCCCCACCTCCATCTGTGGGCGCCCCCAGCCCTCGCCGTGTGTGGGTATGACCAGGGCGTCCACGCTGCGGTACACGCGCACAAAGGTCGCCTCATCAACATGACGGCCTGGGGGGGGGGGCGGAGGGAGGGAGAGAGGGGTTGTGAGGGTCTACGGATGAGCAGCGGACAGGGCAAGCTGGAAAAGGACTGCCCCGGGGCCTGTCGATACGCACGTGGGCGGGAGCCTGCCGCGTGGCGCGAGGGCGGAGCGCAGCCGCGCGACCGCCGCGGCCCGGCCGCGAAAACACTTAAGCCCTTGATTGGGTTCCGCCGCGCCCCTTTACTAAAGGCCAGCCCCCCATACAGCTGGCAGCGTCGAGCAGCAGCGAGCACGCACGGCCTCGCCGCAGGCGTCTATGTGCAACACGCCAAGTGATCGGGCCCCTTGGCTGCCCTTCCCGCCGGCTCAATCCAAGCAGATTGCTTCGACCCGGACCCATCCCACCCCCCCTCCACCCCCCACCCACCTGACACGTACACCCGTGGCAGAGTGTCCTGCAGGTCCTCCTGGCTGGTGATGTTCAGCTCGGACGCAGCCCACGACCTCAGGTGGACTGCGCGTGAGCGCGCATGTGTGTGTGTGTGTGTGTGTGTGTGTGTGTGTGTGTGTGTGTGTGCACGCACGTGTGCGTGTGCGAGTGTTATGTATGTACAAGTATGTGCGACCTGATGTGTGATGGCATGTTCCAGTGGAAGAGGGGTGAGCCGTGAGGGGAGGAAGGGGCGACAGGGTGGTTGGGTTGGCAAGCAACGTGGTTCTGAGGGCGGCGGAGCGTGGAGTGCTGACTGGGCGCAAAAAGAAAGCACGACATTCAAGGGCGCGAATGCATTCCACCTCACCCTTCTTGTGACCAAGCGAAAACCCTGCTCCCATCCCGCCTCACCAGCCATGCCCCTCACCAGCCGCACTGTGCCCACTTCCCTGGCCCCCCTGCCCCCGCCTCGCCCTGCCTCCCATGCCCCAGCCCCCCAGGGCCGCTCACCCCCAAAGTCCCTGCCGCTGCCCATGAAGGGGCGCGCCAGGATGAGCAGATGCACGTTGTCCCCCGGGCCAAAGGCCTTGGTGAAGCTGCGCAGCAGCTCACGCCAGCCCTTGCGGGCCTCCCACTTGAAGACGCTCAGGAACACTGCGGCGCGGCGCGGTGGTTGGGCCGGTGGCTGGAGTGGGAGGGTGGACGGCGGGGCGCGGCGACGGTTGGTCTGGTTGGGGGCCGCATTGGTTGCGCCATGCGCCAGCCAAAGGGTGCGGCGGTTGAGGGTGTCGTGAGGCACGGCGCAAGGAGGGAGCCGGGGCCGCGCAACTGGTTGAAGAGAGGGGAGCGAGTGCGCTGCGGGCTGTGACTGGGCAATCGTCGGCGCAGAGGGGTGGGGCGGAGAGTGGGGAGGGGCCTACAGCAGCGGAACAACGGAGGAGCGACAGGCGGAGACGGGATGAAGTGCTCAGCCGCAGCGCCTGAGGGGCTAAGGGCTCACCAAACGGGCGCTTCAAATCGCCAAAGGTGGCGCCGTCCCCAGCTTTCGGCTCCGCGCCCTGCGCCGCGTGCATCCGTCGGCGCCGAGCATGCAGACGCTGCTCCAGGGCTTGCCGCCACTGCTGCTGCCCCCACCCCTGCTGCTGCTGCTGCTGCTGCTGCTGCTGCTGCTGCCCCTGCTCTTGATGCTGCTGCCGCTGCTCGCCGCTCCCCTCGCCCTGCTCTTGCTGCCGCCCCTCCTCGACCTGCGCCGCCGCCCCTCTGAGCAGACGCCGCTGCACCCACGCCGCCAGCCGCCGCACGGCCGCAGCCGTCGAGCCGCCTCCCTCCGCCCCCGCCTTTGCAGCGAGGCCGTTTATCAGCTCGACTGCATTCGACGCCCCCTTCTTGCCCTCACCCCCCTCCGCCACACCCTTCCCGGCCGCCGCCCCGCTGGCATCGGCCGCGCCGCTGCCCTCGTCCCCTTTCTGCGGCTCTGCTGGTTTGTCGTTTGGGATTGGTGCGTCTCCGTCCGCAGCCGCCGCGGCCTCGCGCGGCGGTGGCGGCGCCGGCGGCGCCCGTGAGCTGTCCCGGAACCAGCCGGGATCGGCTGGCCTGCCGAAAACCTTTGGGGGCGGCACACAGTGGGGCACCGACAGGCGGGTGTTTCAGGGGGAGCGGGTGTGCCTGAAAGCACATGTTGATCCCTGTACGCATAGGTCACCTAGCGTTGGATGTTCGGAGCACCACGAGCGCTTGGCCCTGACACTCTGTGAGCTGCGCGCCACGCGGCGACCTACGCCGACGCGCCGTGGCAACCCTCCCCTTGCTCTTGGCTTTTCCCTTGCACCTGCTCCACACTCCCCAGCTTTCGCACGTGTGCCTCCTGTCTGCTCCACACGACGGCCCCACCTGCGGCACCTGCCCCCCTCCCCCCCCTCCACTGCTTCGCTGCCCCTACCAAACGCACCCCCTCCACCTTCCCAACAGCGCCCAAAACTCCCACGCCC